GAGACATGCTTGGATTGATCGAGTTCAAACTTCACACACACAAGGTACATCATGTCACAAATATGTATGTGCATTTGTTTCATGATCTCATTAACGATAGCCAAATGGCGGCCGCTTTAAGGCCGAAAATGCATTGAAATCGCACATTTTCACCATTCCGGACCCGTATCTCAGTTATGCATGGATGAATTTTGTTCAAATTTGGTACATACATTAAACATAATAGGACCTTGATGCACGTCTTTTTTTTCGGATCAAGTTCGAAATGGCTGACTGGCGGCCATTTTGTTAAAGAATTCAGTTCTGGATCCGTATGCAAGACATGTCTGGATTGATCAAGTTCAAACTTCACACACACATGGTACATCATGTCACAAATAGATATGTGCCTTTGTTTCATGATCTGCTTAACAATAGCGGAATGATGGCCATTTTAAGGCCGAAAATGCATCAAAATCACGTATTTTCACAATTCCAGAACCGGATCTCAGTCATGCATGGATGGATTTTGTTCAGATTTAGCACAATGTGTTGTACATATGCAGGTGCATTTCGGTCATGATCTGCTTTGAATGTATATGTCACTCAAATGTGAACGGAACGGGGACGTGTCATTGACAATGACTTGTTTTGATTGGCTGAACGAGACCGAAGAACGATTTGCGAATTCAGTTCCCTGATTGGCTGAGAACAGTTCTATTTTTATTGTCGTGTTGCGGTTTCTTTTATTTTTACTGGACTACGTCTTCGAATATTATCAAATAAAAGCCAGATCGCGCGGTAAAGTCTCGCAAACATTTCCTCCACACACGTAGATTGTATAAACTACAAGTAATTTATTATAGATTGCAACTAATGGTTTCGATATTGTTCCAATGTTTTGTAATGGTTGTGTATGGGTGAGCTGTGGGTTGTTCAAGTCTAGTACATGTACTCATATGATCTTCTTGACTTACTGGGAAGCTCGATAATATTCCTGACTAATTTACTCAAATGTTCACATGTATTTTAATATCGCACAAAACGACCTTAGCCCGACCTCCCGTGAAAAAAAGCGAAAACGAACGAGGCGCCACACTTTTAAGGGATGACAATCGAATGCACAGACCATGCAGCCAACCAGAAAAAAATGAATATGCAAATCTTGTGTCGCTTTCGTTCAGCCAATCAACTCAAAGAATGTGAACGAAAGGGAGTCGAAACGAACAAAAGTACAGCGTCTGACCAATCATATTATTCTTTTCGTTTCGTTTCGTCCATGCATTTAGCAAGTTCACTAATTACATAGACAACACCATGACGCCAAAATGACCTCAATCAATTGGTTTATAACATGGCAGAATGTCACTTACTACTATGTATAGCAATGGTGTATGTGTTGTTTCTTGTTGAGAAATAATAATATAAAACGAGATGGCGAAACTGCAGTATTGGTTGTGTTTCATTAGTTTTATTGTACTTACGTTACTATTGTACTATTGGTTTCGAGGACGTAAAAAGAGACATATATAGTTTTCTTCGAGGGGATACACACAGCGTTCGAGAATGATTTTTATAGTCTCCAGAAAAAAACATAATAATATTAATAATCAATTCAACTTAAACTATAGTTTGCGTAGCTTAAGATTCCGCTGGGTATGGTATAGTTTATATTAATATTAATAACTATACCCTACCGCTCTTCTCACTAACCTTAAGCGTCGCAAACATTTCTATATTAGGTTACAATTTGTATGATGTTGTTTCTACTTTGTTACATTTTATTTGTTTGAACTGCTTTTGCGTTTAAATCCAACATAACCGACAACATTTAAACGTAGTCCAACTACATCAAAAGTTTATTCAATGGACGTCCCTGTAACCCGTAGCAATCATGGTATGTATAAGTTTAAATATGTCTTAATATTACAGATATAGAAACAATAGAGACAACTATTCAGATACAACTGCAAGGCCACCAGAGAAAAGGGTGAAACAGGAAATACATTCAATTGGTTACAAACGATTACAAGAAATTAAAACTAAAGATGCCACAGAAATTGTGCTGACTCTGAACACAGGGCGAAGTGGCTTGAAGGAATTGCTGGCTGAGCCTCTTATTCGGAAAGACCTATTTGTTCTACTACTGAGTGCCTTGTCCAAAGCCTGTGATTGTGATACTTCTCCACAATTATTAAACGGCCTACTTGGCACTTTAGTTTCTACTGACTTTTTAATTCGACATCTCACCCTGTTTTTTGCACAGCTGCCTGCCGAATACAGCCACTGCAAAATCCAGGAATTCCCACAACAGATAAAAGATGCTGTGAAAGTAATGAAGACAATTCTAGATCGTATGCCTGACCATTTCGTGGATATAATTCCACCAACCAGTACTCTTGAAGGTGCCATTAATCAACTGCGGATTTCCAGTGATGTAATAGATACTGAAATTACGCTGATGCTCGAAGACCTGAAACAGATAACAGGGGATCTTATGCAAACCCGCAAAAATGATAAACATAAAGACATGTTGGTTGATCTATCTGAGGAAGAGCCTCCTAACAACTTCCGAGATATTCCTATTTTCCCTGATGTTAAAGATATTCATATGGATGTCGAACCATTCATTAGACCAAACATTGTCTCTGGGGGATACAAAGGAGTGGAACACTATCTCGATGTTCAGTTCAGATTGCTTCGTGAAGACTTCATGGCTCCTCTACGTGATGGTATATCAGCTTACCTGACCATGCAGAGAAACCCTCAAGCAAAGGGCTCGAATCTACAAGACATACGGCTCTATTATGGCGTGCACATTGAATACCCTTTGTGCACCTTGCATGGAATTGTTCATAAAATAAAGTTTGATCAGACACGACTGAAACATGTGAGATGGCAGTCAAGTAAAAGATTGATATATGGATCTCTGCTTTGCCTGTCCAAGGATGATTTTAATACTCTTATATTTGCCACCGTAGCTAATCGTGATGCTAAAGACCTTGAACAAGGATATCTGGAGGTTAGATTTGAAGACTCAACACAAGTTTCAACAATCTTACCAAAGGATGAGTTTATTTTAGCCGAGACATCAGCATATTTTGAAGCCTACAGGCATGTCCTGCATGGTTTACAAGAAACAACTGAAGAAAACATGGCATTCAAAAAGTACATTGTCAAAGCTGCTACATCCGTTGATTCACCTATGTATTTGCGAAGGGGATATGCAGCATATGACTTACGACCATTAGTGGAAGAACCGAGGAAAGTTAGTCGTAATAGGCATTTGAATTTGGATGACTCTGATGGCGATTATGATTCTGATTCTGAAGATGAATATGAATACAAATACAGCTCTGAACCCCGCCTCAATCAATTAAAAAATGTGCCCTTGCTACAATTGAATCGATGGCCAAATGCAGCAAGCTTGAACTTTGATGAGACACAGTTAGCTGCTGTACAGACAGCATTGACCAAAGAATTTGCAATCATTCAAGGTCCACCAGGAACTGGGAAAACATATATTGGTCTTAAGATTGTGAGAGCACTGCTTTTTAACAAACACATCTGGGGTGTGAACAACTTAACAGGCGAGAAAGATCCACGACCTATCCTAATTGTGTGCTATACCAATCACGCTCTGGACCAGTTTCTTGAAGGTATTCAGAAGTTTCAAAAGACTAATCTAGTAAGAATTGGAGGTCGTAGTTCAAGTGAAACATTAAAACAATATAACTTGAATTACCTAAAATCACAGATTCGTACAAGACGCAATATTCCAAAACATATATTTGCTGGATTGTGCTCTGCCAGAGATGATATGCAGTATTTGAAGGAACCAATGGAGCGAGCTGCTGAGTTAATTGAAACTACCAGAAAGGGGATATTGAATGATGATTGTCTTTTGCCATTCATTTCTGATACCCACTGGAACCGTCTCAGTGATGTGACTTCATCAATTTCTCGAGAGTACATTGGTATCCGTCAAGTTGGAACTTCCATACCACTCTGGCTTGGTCTTACTGGTGAGGTATTTATGGTTCAGAATAGCAAAAACAAATCAGTGATTATGCACAAAGATGTGGATCATATTGTCAAAGAAGATAAGATGCTTGCTGCTGCTGCTGCTGCTGCTGATGATGATGATGATGAAGAAAACTTAATCGATTTTGAGGAGGAAGCTGACATTCTTCAGTCCGAGCGGTTTTTAGATGATGAAGATGATGATAATCTTTTTCTGTCACAGATTAATAACAAAAAAAGGGGAGGTGTTGCCAACCTAGCAAATACAAATATTGCTATGGACCTAGATGCAATTGCCCAGCAATCTGACAGAAGATCGTCTGTAGTTGGTGGTTGGACCGTACAACGAAAAAACAAACACCAATTGAAGCGTGATATTATACGTAAGTTGAACAGTAAAGACATGATGTCTGAGCAGGAGGCTTCCAAAATTGTTGATATATGGGCATTGAAGATAGATGATAGATGGAGATTGTATCGACATTGGGTAGCACAGTATTGTGATGAGCAAAAAAACATACTCGGAAATCATCACCAATCCTACGAAGCAGCAAGTAAGCAACTGTCAGAAATCCAAGATCAAGAAAACCTTACAATATTGAGAGAGGCTCTTGTCATTGGCATGACAACTACAGGTGCTGCCAAATATCGCAAATTGATTCAACAGGTTCAGCCCAAGATTGTTATTGTTGAAGAAGCAGCTGAGGTATTGGAGGCTCACATTATCACTACACTGACCAAAGGATGTGAACATCTCATTCTCATTGGTGACCATCAGCAGCTGAGACCTAATCCAACTGTTTATAAGTTAGCCACCAAATTCCACCTGGACATATCCCTTTTTGAAAGAATGGTAAATAACAAGATGAGTTGTGAAAGATTAGGCCAACAGCATAGAATGAGGCCAGAGATAGCTGAAATGATGAAACATTTCTATGATAACCTCTCCAACCATGAATCAGTCATGAATTTTGACAAGATAAGAGGAGTATCTTCAAATATATTTTTCTTAGAGCATGATTTCAAAGAAGAAAATGTCAAAGACACTAAAAGCAAGTCAAACATTCATGAAGCGAAATTTCTAGCAGGATTATGCAAGTATTTCCTCCTCCAGGGCTACTCTCCATCCCAAATTACAGTTTTGACAACTTATACAGGTCAACTGTTTGCTCTTAGAAACGAAATGCCTAAACGACTCTTTGAAGGTGTCCGAGTTTGTGTTGTAGACAACTTTCAAGGTGAAGAAAATGATATTATTCTACTTTCTTTGGTGAGAAGTAATGAGGAAGGCAAGATTGGTTTCCTGAAGATATCAAATCGTATCTGCGTGGCACTCTCAAGAGCAAAACAGGGTTTCTACTGTATTGGAAACTTTGATCAGCTTGCCAAAGAGGGAGATCTCTGGAGCAAGATCATTCATGATATGAGGAAAAGTGGACGTGTTGGAAAGCACTTGAAATTGACATGCCAGAACCACCCCCAGAATGTCATTCCTGTTTCAAAATATTCCGATTTCAGTGCAGCCCCGGAGGGAGGTTGTACCAGGCCATGCGAATATCGCCTTGATTGTGGCCATAAATGTGAGATGGTATGTCACCCACGTGACCAAGACCACAAGGAATATAAGTGTAGAAAACCTTGTGAGAAAGTAATCTGTGAGTTTGGTCATAAGTGTGCTAAATATTGTTACCAGCCCTGTGAAAGTAGCTGCAGTGTTGCCGTGAAGAAATTATTGCCTAAGTGTGGCCATTCCCAAGTCATGCCATGCCATAAAGATCCAATATATGCTGAATGCAAATCTCGCTGTGCAAAGAAGCTTCCTTGCGGTCACTCTTGTCTTAAATTGTGTGGAGAGTTGTGTACACGAAGTGATGAGTGTAAAGAAGTTGTTCAGCGTACAGACTGGCCTTGTGGACACAAAGTAAAAGTTAAATGCTCAGATAAACCTGATGTATGTCCTGCACCTTGTAATACAACACTAAAGTGTGAACACACATGTACAGGAAGTTGTGGAAAATGCCGAAGTGGTCGACTACATATACAATGCACAATGAAATGTGGCCGAACATTGGTGTGTGGTCATAGCTGTACTGAGCCATGTACTCGCAATTGTCCACCATGCAAAAAAAAATGTGAGAATCGATGCAAGCACAGTAAGTGTCCTAAGAAGTGTGGTGACTTGTGCAAGCCATGTAAGGAGCCATGTTACTGGCAATGTATTCATCAAAAATGTACTGCAAAATGTGGTGATTTGTGTGTCAGAACACGGTGTGACATGCCATGTGAAAAAATACTTCGCTGTAAACATCCCTGCATTGGACTGTGTGGTGAACCATGTCCACGAAAATGCAGGATATGTCACAAAAATGATGTCACAGAAATATTTTTTGGGACTGAGGATGAAGATGATGCTCGTTTTATTCAGTTGTTGGACTGTCCACATTTTCTTGAAGTACAAGGTTTGGATCAGTGGATGGACATGGCTGAGAGTGGAGACTCAAACCACGACATACAATTTAAAGGATGTCCCAAATGTAAAACCCCCATACGAAAAAGTAATCGTTATGGTAACGTCATCAAGCAATGTTTGGAAGATATCCAGAGAGTAAAGCAGAAGGTAATTGGTGATGATAACAATAGACAAAAAATAAAGAGACATCTGAATCGTGAACTCCTTGATGCTGAACAGGGAGAAAATCGTTTGAAGCACTCAATTTGGAGAGAACTAAAGAGTATGCTTCAGCTTGATCTCACTGAGGAGCAGCTGGTTATGACAGAAAATAAAATCCTATTCTTAAAAGAAATATCGAAGATTAGGAACCGAGCAAATAGTAGCCGTCAACTCACATCGCTACGTTCAAGATTATCTGCTCTTGGCATCAGAAGACATCTCTTTTATGGTTATAATGGTGGTGATAATGAGTTTTTTCCAATTGAAGATGAGTTATCAAAGCTTGAAAATTGGATAATGAAACCACGTTTACGTCTCAGTGAGCAGGAACTTGAGGATATCAGCACAGAAATACACAGACAAAGTGTTTTCTGTAATCTCATCACAATGAAATGTAATATAAAGAAAAATAAAGTTAAACTGTCAGATACAGCTACAAGATACTTGGAAAAAGCCGAGAGAATACTTTGCAGTTCTATGCCCTTAACAGATCCACGAGATGATGAAGTCAAAGAACTTTTAAAGTGTGTCCAGAAGCTACACCCAGAATCAATGGCAAATATATCAGAAGAAGAACGTATTATGATCGTTAAAGCAATGGGATTTACTCCTGGTCATTGGTTTAAATGTCCAAATGGTCATATATATGCTATTGGGGATTGTGGTGGGGCGACAGTAGAGGCAAAATGTCCAGAGTGCGATGCAGATATAGGAGGGAGACATCATACACTGCGATCAGATAATAGACTTGCCAGAGAAATGGATGGTGCATCATATGCTGCATGGTCTGATCAAGCAAATATGGAAAATTATGAGTTTGATGAATAACAAGCACGGGTATGTGATAGTAATATAGACACATATCTTCTTCAACTTTTAAAACTGCCTTAGCAGCCTGGTATGTTTTATTGCACATTCAAATATATTACCATAATCATAATCAGTGTCCTTTCGTTTCGTTTCCAGGAAAGTGATGGCTGCATTCTGCATTCAACCATTAACCGACCAGGAGAGCAACTGTTTGAAGTGTGCGTGTTCACCAAGAAGAAGTCATGTAAATACAACTATGAAATTAAACTGGTTTTTTTTTTTTTTAAAGATAAGTATTGAAATGAAGCATTTGGAAATCTAAACCGAAATTGTAATCACTGGGTGATATGAATATTAAGTTCATTTGGTTCATTTACCATAACATATTGTTCAAAGACTGGAAAACAAAAATACAACTTTATTTAAGATCTAATTTTGCATTTGAGACAGAAATACCAGAATCTGAAAACGACATTGTACCTTTTGAACAACAGAGTAGATTATTATGAGAATTGAGCTTTGGGTTACATTGAACTGTGGGTTGAATATATGAACTTAAATCAAGGCATTCTAAGTAGTTTATTACATACGTTATTTGTATTTATACAGTTTTTTGTTTAATCACTAATTTGTTGACCAGTATTGAACTTGTATAGATCTCACTGAAATTATTGTATATGTATATGTATTTTGTTCGGGTGACGTCCACTACATAGTTTGGGACGAATAGATAAATGACAGTCATATACAGTTACTTTGTACAAAGTGTAATGCAATACTTTCTTTCTCAGATGTCTCGACACATGTTCTCCTAATAACGATGAGATTTCATCCATTGCACATAGCATCATTTTTTTCTGCATAATCTACTCCCGGCAATATGTTGAAAATACCAGGTCGTAATATTTTTGGAAACCTAATCAATTACTAATAGCACAACCTATTTTTTGTCTTGTTGAATCCATGTCTACCGATGAAATGTTGAGTTGTATTATACACTATTTTTGTATTTGATACCTCCTTGCATGCTTAACTGCTTATATTCACGTATGCTCTAATTGATGTACACAAATCTTTCAAGGTGGTTGATATTGGTTGTCAAGTTGGTTGCTACTGAGCATTATGTAAGTATAATTAAATGTTATCAAATTGAAAACTGTCTAAATTAAATGTATACTGTTTTTTTAATGTGTATACAGATATTATTAGGGCTCATACGCGTAACAAATTTCAAGATATTCAGAGATACACATAAAATGACAAATTCACATAGAATTTTGCAAAAATGTACTAGTGTAATATTTTTGGTGTGAATCTTCATAAATGAAAAAAGTATTAGCACTTTATAGGTATAACTACTTAATGTTCGTTTCTGAGCAAAATTATTTTCAAGTATTGAGTCAGCAATATTATTTTATGTAACTAAGTTTGCCTATAACTCATTACATTGACTGTGTTTGTGCTTGTTTGTTTACATTTTGTTTCACGGCAAATTTATACTTTATTAGTTCTTACTTCAAGAGTGAACCATTGTCGTTATGAAGATAAACGAAGAAAATCGATTGACATATTTAGCTGGTATTGTGGTAACATTATTGCTGAATAACAGTCTTTATACGCGTTTACAGTGAATAGCGATTCAAATGGCAGTAATTATTCAAAAATATCTGTTAGTTTTGGGATATTCTCTCGTACGTTTAATAATGTCGCCAGTAAGCCTTGTAACCAGAATATGAGTTTAGCATATAATTAATGGATCTATCATTTTATTCCTTTATTTCGATATTGGTGTCTATTATTGTATTTTAATTATGGCATTGTTACAAAATGTGTTGTCTACCTAAATGATATATATTATAAGAAAACGATAACAAACAATTGTTTGCACGTAATATACAATATGTATATATATATTCAACAATTATTATTTTAGACTTATAAGATATTATACAACTTTGTTATTAACTTTTCTTTGCCTTTATTCTATTGTTTATTTCTGCATAATGTACATATGATAAAACATAATCCGAGCATTCTGAATTGTATTTTAATTTAGGGATTACAACTACATAGCTAGTGATATAAGATAGCATGCTATATATTATATATAATGACGTGTTAATTGTTGTGAACTGTTTTCTTACTACATTATTAACGATTTGATTGTAATAACGGTGAAATATTACCAGGACTTACAATTATAACGCGACAGTATGTATGACTTGTAAATCTTGTTAACATATTTAAACATCCCCTTTCATCCGTTAATGCACTATTCTGTCCCTTATGAAATGGAATTACATAAGGCAATAGGGATTCACGACATGAATAATAATATAATACAAATTAGAATGTCATTTATTCTATATATCTACATTTTTATTTTATTGAATCACCTCGAACAATGTTACATTGTCTCGTTTCATTGCGTTCACTTTTTCGTGGATCTATGTACCCATGATATTTGGAGAAGTGAATGTGATGAAAGGAAATAATGAAACACAAAAATAAGTCGTTCTCTCGCACTTGCGGAACCGATGATTATTCTACCATTTACGGGGTATTAATATTCTGTATATTGCTTTGTAAATTAAGCGTTTAGTGTGTATTTGCTTTGTTACATTAACTTTAAAGCGGGAGGGTCGTCACCTGCGCACGCGCGGGAATTGAGTCTCAAGCGACGATAACAACACGCTAAAACGCAAGGGAAGACGATTGTTTGTAAACAATGACACGCTATGGCCATAATGACACATGCGCAGGTGACGACTCCCCCGCTTTAAATTATATTACATTACGATATATGTAAATAATAAATTCTATAAAAAATCAAACCATCGTGCATTAATTTTTTTATTTTTATCAGTAATTGTTCAGAGCACTATAGCAATAACTCGCCACAAGGTCTGGGTTTGAGATAATTGATTGGCTCTTAGTAACCATGAAACCGTCCACATGTTTGTTACGGAACAAGAACATGTTACGTGGAGTTGTTAATGTAAATGGATATTTTCTATAATAACCAGTTTACAAAAGTGACCACCGAACATGCCAACGACGTTATTGTAGACTGATCCCCATTGACCAGAAACATAGAACAGCTACACAAAAAATTACATACTGTGACATCCTTGAAAAGTAAAAATCATATTAATTACTTTAATTAGTTTTGATAATCTTGTACGAGATACTAATACGAGATCAGGCCATGTAAGTTGTTGGGTGAGTCCACGCAGAAAAAATCCCAGTAGCCGTTCGCATTTTGAATTTGCGGCAAATCATGACATGACCGTTGGCGGTGCTGTGCGATTCTCTCGCAAAGCGTTATAATTCAATGTGAACATACAATAGTTTCTACACGCAAGCACAAGGTCGCTTTAACTATAGTATTTCAACTGTAACTATATTATTGTAGAATTCTTAAATAAATATCCAGAAATCGCGTATAAATATCCAGGTTACGATACACAGTATAATAGCAAAGCATAGATCTACAGTTCAAGCATAATTTACATAAGCTTTGAATAATAACGTCTTTAAATCTGGAACAGTTACGCAACCAGGCTTAATGCGAATAACATTATGAATACTGTATATTACAACATGAAAGTGTTCATTCCACAACATTATTCCAACCATAAAATACAATCAGAATCAATTGTTACATAAAGCAGAGTTCTCTGAAATGCCATGTTGCATTTTTATTATCATTAGAATCAATTATTTTGCAGATCGTGAATAAAATAAAAAGAGTAATACACAACTGATTATATATATATATATATATATATATATATATATATATATATATATATATATATATATATATATATATATATATATATATATATATATATATCTATATATATAGCAAATTATGTAAAATATGGAAAAATTAATTTCTCCAGTAACACCCCCAGACGTTACATGAAAGAACGTGACTGTACTTTCGGTGACACTAGTGATTGATACACACGATATAATATAGCCACCTAAGGTGATTATTTACATCATCACGTGAAACGATTTTTTGGGATAATAGTATAAAATTTGCAACTATACGTCCTAAAAATAAAAATAACTAATTGCGTGAATGGTATGCGCACTAATTGACTGTATATAACACTCGCCATTGATGTTATTCATATAAATTACATATACAAAACAATATTACATCATTATGTCTAAAGCTCATTAATACAGTATATAATTATGCCATGGACGTTTATTAATTTATCTTTCAATTCGAAATAATCATAATTGTCTTTTACATATAACGCTAAACTTGTAATACTATATTCATATGCATATATATATATATATATATATATATATATATATATATGCAGTGGGTATACACTGAGATAAACATCTTTATTTTGTGTGAAAGTAATGACAAAAAAATAACATAATATTTTTTATAATATACAATTGTTCTACCCATGTTGTACCATGAGAAAAGCCGATCTATGTTGTGGCCTCTTTTATTCGTGAGTGTACTATTCTGTCTCGTATGAAAACAGACTATGACATTGATAATAATACAAATCACAAATGATTTCATTTGTCCCCGTATGCATATACAATTTCGCAGATGATGTATCAGTTCAATAAATGTGTTACATTTGCTAAGTCAATTGCTGAATTTTATGGTATATAGCAGATATACACTGTAATTTCAAAGTGTATAATTACAATTACGTATATACACGTTATTATTATATTTAT